TAACAGCCATTATCTTACAAGGCTTGCCAAGAGCTTCAGCCATCGTTGTGTTGGATGTAAACAGCTGTTAATGCTAACGTTAGCTATGTAACTGTAACTAGCTCCTTTAAGTTCCGTATCTCAAACAAGAAAAGTGAGAAAGCCTGTCTTCTATTCAATATTCCTGTAAAATTCTCAGAATGGGCAAATTTTAGTTTGTTTCTTTTTTTCAGTTACATGAAATACTTAATGTCACAACAGGTCAACAATCCAAAGCCTGAGTCTTTCTAGTTCAGCTGGTTTCTTATAAGTTTGGGCTGAAAAGTAGAGATTCAGATGCTGTGAGTGACTTCATGTAGAAGAAATTCATCGACCTAGATCACAGATCTGGAGCCGTTCTAGACTATTAAATGAGTATGGATAAAAGAAAAGGTATCAGTGTGCTACTGTTTGTACAGCAGAAAATCTTTGGTATGTACTGTACGTTTCACAAAGCATTACATTGTCACTCTCTCCGCAGTAGGAAGCTCGCTGGACAACAGCAAGCGTAACCTGAAAAGGTGGCCGGTTTGAAATCTCCAGACTGGGTGGAAGTTACAAATGAAAGATGGAAGCGTTTGAGTAACAGTCAGCAACTGGTTTATGGTTTTTACTCCATGCTGACGCACCGAGCTGCTTTCAGCTCAAATCTGTGAAAACATACTCATATGGTCGAATGTGAAGCTGTGGAAAATAAATAAATAAATGAACCGGCCCTGTGCTGTTGTCTGGCAGCTTTTGTTACTACTGCTGGAGATTGTTGGAGGTAGACTTTGTCCTGTGGATCAGGGAATGACTTTTGGTGGAAAGAGCAAAAAATATTTTCCTCTTTTTGAGCAAGTTGGTGAAAATGTGTGTTCATGGTCACGTCTGTGGGTGTGAAGGATACACTGTGATGGCTGCATGTGACGCCATGCTGGAGGAACATCCCATCAAAATATCAGATGTTTTAGCCTTGAAAGGTAGCGTACTGTACAGGGGAGTTAAGCTAGATACTCATTAGCAAGTTAAATACTAGCTATTGTTAAAAGAAACTGTCACTGTTTTAACTAAGGTAAAAGGATGAAAGAAATGCTGCTTGATTAGCCTGCATGCTAACATAGAAAGTGTAGAACTGATGCGGTGGAATAATATTCAGTGGAAAATATTCAAAACCCAGCATGGATGCACATCATGCTGCGGGTGTGCGTACATGTGGTTTGCTAGAGTTAAGATGTTTCTTGTCGGGGGGAGGAGGACTGCTACTGGAGTTAACGGTGAATCTTTGGTTTGTTAGCTGATGAGGTTTCTGTTGTTCTCTTAACCATTTTTTTACTTTGAAAAACTGCATAGGCACACGTTAAAGACACTCTTCAACCGTGAGAGACACATTAATGTTCTGCCTTTTTGGGGGGTCGGAGGGAAGAAATGGTCGACGACGTCCTCCATTCGTTCCTTCCCTCCTTCCCGTGTGGTTTTACCCTTTTCAGTCCCCAACTTGCTTCCCCTTAAAGATGGCCTGACTCAATATCAGGCAGAACAAAGCTACTCCTCCGCTCTCAAGATGTCATCCTTCCTTCTATCCTCCTTCCTTCTCCTCTTCGTCGTCACCCTCCGTCCTCGACATCGTCGCCACCACTCTTTTTTTTTTTTTTTTTTTTTTTTTTTTTTTTCTACATTTTTTGGTAATAATTCTCTTCCATCTTCAGTTAGTTTTTCCGTTTGTTGGAACAGTTAGGTGCAGAAAAAGGTTTTCTTTGGTTTCGATTTGTCAATAAATAGAAAAAGTCTCAAGTGTCCATTTTTTTATTTTAAATCGTTCTTGAAGCCTTTGGCTTGTCTCTAACCAGGCCAGGACTCAGCCTGGGGTTTCTAAGGAGCAGGGGCTGCTGACTGACGCCTTTCCTTTGGTTTTGTTTCTTTTTTTTGGTTTGATAGCTTGAGTGAGGGATGATTGATGAGGTGATTGCGTATGGTAAAGGCTGTAAAAACGGAGCAGGAGGTGGTGCGTTTGAGGTTTTTAGGGTTCATTAGTATTTACATCATGTTGAAAGGCTGTACAGTGTGACGTATCAAACTAAAATCAATGGTGGGATTTGATTGTGAGGGATGCTGGGTAAAAAATGTATCTGGACAGAAAGGCAGTCAGAGAGCTGTTCTCTGTGTCTCAGTCCACTCGTCTGTCTGCTGCCCATCCTCTTTACCAAGCATCCAACTCTCGCACGCTGCAAACAAATTCCATCTTAAAGGTTCAACCTCTTTGTTCTAAAAAAAAAAACAAAAAAAAACCCCAAAAAACTCTCACCTAATAGTGGTGAATTTGTTTTGGATTACAGCTGATCTCTCCACAGACCTAATCAGAATGATTTGTTTGCAGCGTGAAGACCTGTCCTCTTGTTTTCCAGCCCACTGACCCTTTGGAAGAGACGGACCTGCCAGGCATCGTCTTTAGATTGTCCTCTTTAACTATTACAAAGGCCCTGATCCGCCTGGACAGTCCGTCCTCCGCAGGTTCAGCCCGGTCACTGGTTCTGCTGTTGTGTCTGTCCGCTGATGCAGTGGGAGTTTTTGTGATTTGTGTTTTGTGATGTACGTGATGGCAGCTGGAGGCCTCCAAAGAGCATCTTAGCTGTACAGCTGGATTTACACCAAAAGGTTCAATCTGAGCAGGTTGTAACTAAGAACCTCTTCAGCAGCGATGAGCCCACACCGTCCAAACTCTGGACTTGACCATATGTTTTGGTTAACGAAGGCGCAATTAGTGGAGTTTCTTCATTTTACCGATTTTTTTTAAATGCCTTGTTAGGGATTACTTATCCTCTTTATACATGTGTATTGTGGTGTATTGTTGTATAGTTATGTGTCCATACTAATATGATTTTTACACCCATCTAAACAGGGAGAAGTCACAGATAAAGTCTTTTGTTTTTGAGTAAATCCAGGCTACATTTGATGCTTTAGTCTTAAATTGTTCAAAATGTCATCAAACAGCACCAGTTTTTATAGCATCTCTGTTCTAATTGAGAACAAAGATTGTGCTAATGCTAAAATGCTAGGTGGAAAGCTGCTGCCCCGATGGATGAGTTACCATGGTAAGACAAATGATGGGTGGGTGAAGCCAGGGTAAACTGGAGCTTAGCTTTGGTTTAGCTGACAATGTTTCGGTCAGGAAGGGAATCCTGGAAAACGTTTGGGAAATGACTCTTTAAAGTTGTGTGTGTATGTGTGTGTATTTCTGTAAAGCAAGTGTATTTGCTCATCAGTAACAGTGTGTCTGTGTGTGTGTGTGTGTGTACGTGTGTGTTTGTACATTCGTACGTTACAGTGTGTAATGACAGATGCCGAATGGATTTCAGCCACTGTTTAGAAAAAATGGCATCCTGAGTTTTCTAAGATGTGAAGACCACTCGGCAGAGAGTCCCAGTTCTATTGCAAAGAAAATGTGCTTCAAGATTGTGCTCACATACGTTTTATATATTCATATATAATACACTAACACTTCACTGAATGTTGAGTATGCTGAGTAAGCTTGTAATTCTACATGTCGGCTCAAATTATGAGGAAAGTTGCATGTGCCTTGGTGAATGTTTGTGTATGAGAGTGTGTGTGTATGTGTGTGTAGGTGTGTTTGTTTGTGCTTGCATATCTTGCCATTTCCTAACTTTACAAATCCTCACTGCCCCCTTTAAAGAGTCATATCGTTACACGCTGCTTTTTCTTTGGTAAAATTGAAGAGTTTTGTCCATAAAGTGACAGAAATCTCATTGTTTTGTAAAAGAAAGTCGATGAAGTCAACACTTAAGTAACAATAATCATCCATCTACCGCCTTGATCATATATATCTCAGAGATCAATTTCAGGTACATATTTCGTTTTTTTTTTTAAAATTGATAAAGAACATTTTTAGAAGACAACTCTTCAATTCTGTCAAGTTTCAGGGGAAAACAAGACTGTTTGTAAACCTGACGGTTAAAGATGGAGACTGCAGAGCCAGATTAACACAGTCGTTGTTGGACTGTTTTTGACTGTTTTTCATCACTCAGTCATGAATTAGCAGATATTAGCAAAACGGTCAAAGCTACACAGAAGGTCCAGTCTTTCCTGGATAGCACACTGTGCTAAACTCCTTCCAAGCCAGTGAGCGGACATTGTATTAGGTGTATTTCGTCAAACTATGAGTTCTACGGACAGGAATGAACTTTGAAACATGGTCTAGTTTCTCTTAATCAAAACCTCTTATCTCTGGTTCGGCCTCGGCTGAACATACTGACCAAAAATGTACAAATTCAGCTATGACAGCTTTCTAAATTTGGCTGTGCAATCTCCACAACCCGACATCTGGATGAGAACTCTGCCCCCGAACTGATGTGTCATTGCCCTGTTTTGGACATTTGAGGGTCAAAGTACGACAAAGTTTTTTTTTTTTTTTTTATCTTATCCCAGAGCTTCTCACACATTCTGCAGTCATAAAGCTTTCATTGGTTTCTTGTTTGGTTGGTTCCTAGCTTATATTGCATAATAGAAAACATACATCGTCTTCTAGTCTTTGGTATTTGGGCTAGTGTGTCAGCTTATTGTCCTACAAGAGACATCAACAGTGAAAGTCTATGATTCAAAAGCTTCTTTTTCCCCCCCTGGTGAGGTTTGTGTGTGTTTGAAAGTTGAGTTTACCCTTCGGCTTCTTTATGGATTTAGGATGGATTTGTAAAAGGCGGTTTGGCTACAAACAAGACGTCGCAGTGAGCAGCCCCTCTCTGTTTGTCACCCTCAACTAAAGCAAAACAGACAAACAAACAAAAAAATGTAAAAAGTTTGGTTTTCCTCCTCGCTTTCGACCGGACGAAACCTCAACCCGCGCCCCTCACCCCACACCCACCCCAACCCCATCACCACCCATTCCCGCCTCCACCCCTCTCCCCCATCCCCCTCCCCCGCATCTCCGTTGCTCCCACCCCAATCGAAACCCCTCCCTATCGCTTCCCTCCCTTCCACGCCATCTACTATCACGCTTTGGTACAAGTGCTGGACGCCGAGGATTGGGCGCCCGGGCTGGCTCCGTCGTCTGTCCATTTGTCCAGGCTCCGGCGTCGGGCGTTCATGAAGAAGTTGCTGACGGTGGTGAGTTCTAGGCCCAGCTGCTGCGAGATGGTGAGCTGCATCTCTTTGGACGGCCGCTTGTTCTCCTTGAAGATGGCCAGCAGGGTGCGCCGCTGCAGGTCGGTGAAGACCAGCCGCGACTTCTTTGGTGTGTTGTTGCGGTCCTTCGCCGTGTCCTGCTCCTTCCGTTTGCACGCTGTGTGAGGAGGGAGGGGGAGGGGGGGTGTCGGGGGAGGGAAATTAGAGGGTGATGGGAGGAAGAGAGAAAATAAAAGTGTGAGTGTTGTTTGTATTTTTTTTAAACAGATTAACACAGTCGTTGTTGGACTGTTTTTGACTGTTTTTCATCACTCAGTCATGAATTAGCAGATATTAGCAAAACGGTCAAAGCTACACAGAAGGTCCAGTCTTTCCTGGTTAGCAGTGCTAACCAGGAAAGACAGTGCTAACTTAGCACACTGTGCTAAACTCCTTCCAAGACAGTGAGCGGACATTGTATTAGGTGTATTTAGGTGTATTTCGTCAAACTATGAGTTCTAAGGACAGGAGTGAACTTTGAAACATGGTCTAGTTTCAGCAGTGAAAGTTGAAACTAGACCATGCTAAATACGGGAAGAGAATTTAGCAGCGTCTCCGATATGAAACACACACAGAAGGTCGTGTCAGAAGCTCATATTGTTGTGTACATCTGATGTTCGTTTACCTGCTGTCTGTCTGTCCGTCTGTCTGCTTCCACTGTGTCATTACTCAACAAATACAACCAACACTGTTCAGGCATTTCACTCACTAGAACACGAGCTACAACATCTCTGCAGCTCTGAAGGCTTAAAATGATCAGTTCCTTCATTGTCCATCGATCACTAACCAATAACCAATAACACCTGCTTCTAATCACAGAAAATCCCTTTGAGTGTAATAACACCTCTGTGTCTCTCTGTTTGTCTCGACACAATATATGATGCCGCTTGTTGTTTGTCTGTCTCTCAACTGAAAAATGCTTCACAAGGCAGCAGCCTCCATGTGATGCTCCACCTGTGTTTGAGGTGAGGCGCTTATCTTGGCATGCAGTCGCTTTGTCGGTGACTTTAGTTCCATTTCTTATATTGTACCCTGCCTAACAGTACGGCGGCCCTGAGAGCTCATCGCACTGCAGCTTGAGAAGACACGCGCAAACAGACAGAACACAAACGACTTCAGAAAACATCTTCATCAGTTTGAAACACATGAGCTGCAAATACTCACAACACAACGCAAGTGTTTCCAGGGGACTCTGAAACGCTTTTATGCTCAAAAGTCACAGTTGTGTATTGAACAACAAGTCACAGCCAGATTCATCACTTTTTATTAAAGTCATTTTTTGCCCTAATTCTGATAGTGACAGTGAGAGAAAGAGAGATAGAGAGAGAGAGAGAGAGGATATGCAGGAAAGGACCACAGGTTGGACTGGAACCCGGGCCGCTGTGGTTAGGACTACGCCTTCACACCAATTAGCACAGGGGAGAGCCAGGTGTTTCCCATCATGCCCTCAGGTCTCACAGTCAGTGAGGAGCCTACCTGCTTACGTTAACATGACGACAGAGCAAGTCAGGACGGGAATCTAACATTGTGGCCATGCAAAGTTACATTTCAATTAATTTAATCAAATTATCTCATTCTTCCAACTGGACTATCATAAATACTGGTGCTGTTCTGTTTTTATGGTGTTTATTATAGTGTAGTTGGAGAAAGATGTAAAAATATAAGATTTATGATAAAGTGCCTGTAATTAAATGGTCAAAAAAAATACAGACTGAGCCTTTAAAATGTTCATTCAACGTAGATGTAGAAGAATTCATCTCTTTTATTTATCTAACCTGTGATGCGTGCAGTCTAAAGTGTTATTTATGCTCTCATGGATGTTTTTATGGCCAAATAGAACAACAACAATAACAATAACACCCTCTCTAATGTGTCTGCTGCTTCTATCTCAGTCTGTCAGTGAGGAGGAGGAGGAGGCCTGGGTGCGTTTGATTTGATTACCTCTCTGAATTAAGTATGCACGAGTCGGAGCCTGATCAATATAAATCAGGTTAAGGACTCAATTCAGTAACAAAACTATTATGTAAGGGGAAACTATCCTCGCTGTAAACACACACACACACACACACACACACACACACACACACACACACAAACAGCCACATCCCTCTCCTCTTGTCTCCTCTCAGCCTCTTATCACAGCGTTTAGCAACCTGACAACAGAATGAAAGATTACAGCTGTTTGTCTCACTGCTGCTCCCTGGCGCTGTCTCATCAGAGATGGTCGTGAAGCTTTAAAAACATGCATGGTAAAAACACATATGCTGTTCACACTGAGTGAAACATTCGGACCACGTTTTATGGCTTCACCATTTCACCAAATAGGAATATTCTACATCTTATGCTAATATTTCCCCCAAATTCAGCCTGACGTATTTGTTATGTTTGGAAAATGTTACTTACTGTTGAACCACATAAGAATTCATTCTCTCCTCTGTTTCTCTGTTCTCTTTGTAAATGAGTGAAATGTTGTGAATATTAATCCTCCACATGCTCACCAGTCAAGCTGTTGTGCTTGTCATGCAATTTGTCACTGACAGGTGGCACTATTGATCTCTGAATATCACTATGTTAAGTGAATGTGTAGTGTGTGTGTGTGTGTGTGTGTGTGTGAGAGAGAGAGAGAGAGAGAGAGAGCTATGCTTTGAATCATTTGGACCACCAGAGAACTGAGAGAGACAATAGCATCAGAATCAGCTTCTTCTTTTAAATCACATTAAAACGCACTTTATTTACTGTAGCTGCATGTGGCACTGTTTATTTTTAACCTTGTTTCAGTCAATTGTACTATATCTGTACTTTATTATTTTACTATTTTATCTTTGTTCCCCAATTTTATTTTATAGCACTGGATTATTATAATTGCTATTGACAGATTTGAAAAAAGTATTATTCATAGTATTGTATCAAAGGGACATAAACATGAGTCAGAGGTTTGTTTTTGTTTGTTCTAAGTCTAAACTAGAGTCAAATCCTGGACTTTGGATCCGACTATTTACTGGATGATCTTTGTGATAAGATCTCTGACTGTCAGCTCACAGACTGATGGGTTGACTATTAATTATACTGTTGTTAACAGCTTTTCTAGTTAAGTCACATCAACCTCCTTTTCCTCTCTGAAACCCAAAATATCTCCTCAATACATTCAACCTTTATTTATACCAGGAAGGACATGAAAGCAACAAAGTGAAACAAAGAAAAAGTAGCCAACACCACTTCTATTGTCATGACTACATTTACTACCACTGCTACTGAACCTACTGAACCTGCTGTTTCCCTACAAGTATGAAGAATTTTTCAAATTTGATAAAATATCACCTTATAGCTGACATATGTGGAAACGTTTCTTGATATAGGAACACATATGTCATATATTACATTTCTGTATGGGTGGTATCATTTTCAGTACTGCAGACACCAGGATTAACACCTGTGTAGGGAGGAGTCTGAATGTCATTTTATTTGGAAATCCTCAAATTATTGTTCCTAATTTGTAATAATAATTTGTAATATAGCAACAATCCCTGTGATTAAGTAATGTCATTTAGATACAGGTGTCTGTTACATAAATGTTCCATTATGACTTTATTCGAACATGACTGCTGCCCGTTATAAGAATAAAATATAAATATCTAACAGTGAACGGACATATGTGTGTAAAGCATTCTGACAGATATTCATATGTTCAGATTTAAATACAGGGAGGCAGTGCTTGTCTGAATACTGTGGTTCTATAAGGCTTTTTTCTTTTTCCTGCATCACAACAGGGCATGAGAAGAATGTCCTCAACAAGCAAAACCGTTTCAAACAAATGTCTAAAATACATCATCAAATAAATAATAAACCAATGAAATACTACTTACAATACTGTAAATAGATGAGTACAAATGTACCCCCCCCCCACCCCCTCGGTTTCTGCTTACTGTAGCTTAATGAAAAGCAGCGCAGCAGCACTTCACACCAGACAAGTTTTTTTTTCTTAGGAAAAAAAAGTGCAGACACATCTACGTGTAAAAAGGAAGCAATCAAAATCGCCCACACACAAACGCACAGAGTCTGCCGTCAATGGAGAGAGAGCAACGCTTGAGTGATTCAATCAGGCTTTTTTTCCTCTGGTCGAGGTGACAGTGAGGATCAAATACGCAATTATATTATTCAAAAGGGGTTTACCGGTTTGAGGAGGAGTGAGAGTAAGAGGAGGGGGGAGGGGTGGGCATTCTTTAAAGGTAAGGGTTGAATCAATAGGATCAATAAGGCAGGGTTCCTCTGTCTTTCATCAGCTCTCTCTGGTAGACTTCAGTGTGTTGCTAAATGCGTCTCTAACTGCTAAAGAGCTCAGCAGAAAAAACGGAGAATCACTCGCCAACTACACTTTCCACTTCTCCTCCCCGTGTCTCATAGCAGTCATCGTAAAAACCAACAATCACAGTCATCAACATTACTACTGTAATCAGCAGGCATCCTTACATCATATTTAGATCTGAATAACCACTGCTGAATCCTTATAAAAGCATCTTCAGCACAATGTTGTCCATGACTGTACTCGTCTCATTATCATCACATATTAATATCTTAATTAGGGCTCGGTGTTGAACCACAGTATTTCTTTGGTACAGACCAAATGTGTCACGGACTATTAAAAGACCTAGTATCATATCTCATCATATTAGTAATGTTTTTTATTTATTCTCTTATCAGATTGTTCCTGATTTAAAGGATATTTTTCACAGTTTTAAGAAATATTAGTTTTGGTATTTAATGTTTTAGATTTGGTTTCTTTAATTAAATGAAAATCATGGTTTTGCAGGAAGAAAACATATTTCTCAAAGTAAGGCATCCTTTTGGGATCAGTATCGAATCTCAGGTATTGTGTCAGTATCGGTGTAAAATTTCAAACAGTACCCAGTCCTAGTCTTTAATCAACGAGAAAACCATCACAATCATCAATATCCTGATCATTTCATTACACAGTTATCTTGTTCAGCCTCCTGTATAACACCATCTTTAACATCTCAAATATCAACATCCAAAACTCACATTGTACTCACTTTGTACCAAAGACAACGGAAACTCACATCAGACAAAAATCTGAGAGTCATGATTCAGTCAAACCTGAAC